GCATGGCAGCTTCTGTAAAATGATTCCTGTTGGCTTCAGTTCTCAGAAACAAGAGAAGGTGGAGTAGACTGGTCCGTCGGTAAACAATTGTGGTGGTGCTCGTGTAAACAGCCTGTATGTGGCAGCAGCAGAGTCTCTCTGTGGGTTTTGGAGTTTGTGAGAGATGTAGGTGTTGCCGTGACATCAGCGCATGGTAAAAACACAAAAACTGTCACAGAATGCAGAATTTATCTATGCAAAAATAAATGAAAATCATGTTTCTTCCACTTCACAATTATTTTCTACTGTGTGTGTCTATTACATAAAATCCCAATAAAATTTTTAAGTTTATAGTTGCAACGTTGCTAAATATAATTCAACATGGATGAACACTGTGCATCCTTACCTTGTCGATGCCCATGTGTATTTGCAGGGATTTGGATAAAATCTCAGACTTCTTCTTGGCCTCATTGCTAAAGTCGTCACAGACCCGTCGGAGCTCCACACATTTGGGTCGGATGGAGTCCACGGCGTAGTGGTTGCTTTGAATGAGCTGGTCCCCATGCAGGGCATGGAGCTGGGCCTTTTCTACTGCAGGCTGAAGGAAAGATGGTTTATTTAGTTTAGATCTATTCATCCAGGTGTGCCTAAAAATGTGTCTTCTCTTTGATGGTGCATTAAGAAAATAATTTGTCTAATTTAACCAAGAAACTTGATTCTATCCTGGGCAGAAACTGAGGAGTTAGGTGAAGTACAAGGCACTCAGATGACCTTTGTTTCTATCAGAACAATATATATTGGCTCTATGACTGGCTGTGTTGTCTCAGTAGTTTTGGAGAAAAGCCTATAACTCATCTAACAAAGTTAAGTCATGTCCTCTGGATGAATTCTTCTTGTTGAAACGTTTCATCTTTTATCCAAAAGACTTTGTCAGTCTGAGGAGCTGCAACAAACTCAGTCTTATAAATAGCCCCTTCTCATAGTGGATCAACCAGTTTGCTGGTGACAGTCAGAACTAGCTGTTCACATGATAAATGAGGACCATCAGTCTAACAATTGGTTGTTCATTCAGAAACAGACAGAGACAAAAAAACAAAACTATTTCTAAAGTAGCTTTTGAACTATATTACAACCTTCAAAATAATACACATTACATAATTTACACAACGAAAAGGTTCAAATGTGATCGACACCGGGGTCTTTCTCTCTGGAGTTTACATGTTCCCTCCCACTTCCCACTGATTTGTGTTTCTCTAATAACTAAGCTGTCTCTGGGTGTAAGAGAGAGATAATGGTTGCTTCTCTGTATGTGTCCCTGAGATGAACTTTAGACTTGTCCAATTTGTCCCCCGCCTCTCGCACAGTGTCTGCTGCAGATAGACACCAGAGATCATATTGCTCCAGTTTTAGCTTCTCTTCATTGACTCCCTGTCAAATTCAGAAAAGAGTTTAAAACCGTACTTCAGCTGAAACCCAAGAGTACGAATTTAATTGGACTGATAACTTTATCTTATTCTGAAATGCTTACTGTCATTTATGTAAACTTTGAAGGGTTTTCAACAAACTGTAACAAGTTTAAAGAAGAGAGACAACCTGTTTGATTTGTCGCAGTGTTTTGTGTCCTTGTCTTTTTCTTGTATAATTTTATCAGGTACTAACAGTTGAATATTTTTACTTTTTTGTGTCTAGACCAGGTTTCCCTGCTTGTGTTGACACACCTGAGCCTTCTCCTCCAGGGTTTTCAGATCCTTCAGCAGGTGCTCCACTCGGGCGACACAATCTCCGGTATCAGATAGGTTCTTCAGGCTGTCCATCAAAGAGTCAAGACACACTTTGACCTAAAAAAGAAAGACAAACCAGAGACTAATAAATGTCCCAAATTTATTCATTCATTCATCTATATGTCCCACCGCGCTCTCTGAGGTCAGCAGACCAGAAGCTTCTCTCAGTCCCAGAAACCCGTTGTAAGCTCAGGGGTGACAGGGCTTTCTCTGTTGCAGGTCCACGACTGTGGAATGAGTTGCCACTGAGTGTCCGGCAGGCTCCCACACTCTCAGTCTTTAAGTCTCGCTTGAAGACCCACTTCTATTCGCTTGCCTTTAACACGGTGTGATTTGTTTTGGTCCGGTGTGTTCTCTACTCTGTTGGCCATTTTAGTTAGCTTCTGCTGCTATTTGTATCTGTATTTCTATTTTATGTTTTCCTGTCTGCTGTGCATGTTTGTGTTCTTTTGTACAGCACTTTGGTTGGCCTTGTTGCTGTTTTAAGTGCTCTATAAATAAATTGGTATGGTATGGTATGGTAAATGCAGCAAAATGCTAACAATAGGGTAAATGAAGCAAAAGGCTAATTATAGGCTAAAAGTAGCAAAAGGCAACAAGCCAAAAGTAGCAAGAGGCTAACTATAGGCTAAAGCAGCACAAGTCTAACTATTGGCTAAACACAGCAATAATCCTTAACAAAAAGTAGTACATTTGAAGTTTATTTTTGCAAGTATACTTTAAGTATATCCAATATACTACACGCCATACTTGTAGTGTATTAGAAGTATACTGATTTAATACTTGTTTGGACTAAATTGGGACATTTTTATACTATTTTTAAGTCTATAAAATAAAGTTTATAAAAAGTAAACTTCATGTACACTTCCTCATTTTTAGTGTAAAATAAGTATACTTGTAGTACACGTAAATAAAGTACTTTTTGCTAAGGGCTAACTTTAAGCTAAAAAGATAGCAAGTGCCTAGCTAAAAGTAAAAGTAGTAATGCATAAATTTAAAAGCTTGAAGTACAAATAAAAAGTAAAAGTAGCCTAAGAAATCAAAAACAGTGCCAGTCTCCTGAAACAGAGCGCAAAGAGAATAGATTTTAATGAAACTGAAATGATCTGGATTTTTCTATGAGGAACTTATTTGTACAAAGTAAATAAAGTTAAATATTTCAAAAAGTTACAAAAACATAAGTTATGTGACCCATCATCAAGAAGAGCTAAATGTTGTCATAGATGATTGACAAATTAGAAGAAGAAATAGTTAGATTGTAAAGAAAATGTCTGAGAAATTAAAAAAAGAAGAGGAAAAAAGTAGACTAGTTGTAAAGGTGAATGAAGAGGTCGCAGCAGAGGTTCACAGGTTGGGGGAATGGGGCAGACAGTTCTAAACATCTACCTCTCTGAAGTCCTGCTCAAAGTGGCGCAGCTGAAGACACTGCTCCAGCTTCACATGATGTTTGCTCCAGAACTGTTCAAATGCATTCTCTGTCTCATCCAGCTGAGCCAGGAGCCTGAAACACAACCAAATGATCCTCAGAAACCACCAACTGAGCCGTGATGCACAGGAATTACAGTGAGAAAGTGTGGAGTACCGTTCCACCGTGGTCTGGTTCTCCAGCTCGTCTGGGTTCGGCTGCTGGCTCTCTGACCGGGCCGCATGGTCCTTGATACAGGATGACAATGTGCTACCCTGTCTCAGAGCCAGCTTCAGCTCATCCTGGAGTCCACACAGATACAGATACAAAAGGAAAAGGGTTAACATACAACTCTGCATCCAACTCTACATCCAACTGTATGTCCAACTCTTTGTTCAAGTCTACATACAACTCTACATACTACTCTGCATCCAACTCTACATCCAACTGTATGTCCAACTCTTTGTCCAACTCTACATCCAACTCTGCATCCAACTCTACATCCAACTCTACATCCAACTGTATGTCCAACTCTACATCCAACTGTATGTCCAACTCTTTGTCCAAGTCTACATACAACTCTATATACAACTCTACATACTACTCTGCATCCCACTCTACATCCAACTCTACATACTACTCTGCATCCAACTCTACATACTACTATGCATCCAACTCTACATCCAACTGTATGTCCAACTCTTCATATGACTCTACATACAACTCTACAATCCATCCATCCAAGTGTACATCATATTCTTCATCCAACTCCACATCCAATTCTAAATCCAACTCTACTTCTGACTTTTCATCTGACTTCATCTGACTCTACATCCAACTCTACATCCAACTCAACATCCAACTCTGCATCCATCCATTCATCTGTTTTTCCAACTGTCCATCCATCCAATTGTCCATCTATTCATCCAGCCATCCATCCAGCCATCCATCTAACCATCGTTCCATCCAAAATCAGAATTTAAATGACAAATCATGTCAAGTGTGAATTATCAGCCAAGAGAATCCAAATATCATCTGAAGACCAGACTCTTTTCACCAAATCAACCTTGATGCAGTTTTGCATTGACTTTTTGCTGGTAGAGAGAAGCATTAGTGTTTGTGTGTCGTGGTCCTTCACCTTGAGGTTGTTGTGTCTGTCAGTGTGGGCAGTGAGCAGGTCTTTGGTGCTCTGGACGTCGTTGGGAAGCTCAGTTTCTGCCAGCTCTGTTCCAAACTTCTGCAACATCTGTGCTGTGCTTTTCACCGTCAAGGCAAAATTTTCTATGGCCTAGGGAAAGAAACAGATGGTCACTGTGATGTTTCAGCATTCTTATAGCTGCCATAAAGACAACCCTTTAAGGTCTAAATGTATCAGCCAGTTGGCTATTCTAGAAAGCCTGTTTGGTAAAAACTCAGAGCAACCCATTGATTTAAGGGAATGTGAAGGTGCTTTTTGTTGAAGAACGAGAGATTAATGAAACTCTTGAGTTCATCACCACAGACTGTGACCTAAACTTGCTCACTGACAGGTTTTCTGTAAAAATAAATAAACAAGTAAATACAAATAAAATATTAAAAATGTAAAAAAAGAAAGAAAGAAACACGTTTTTTTCTTCCTGTCTCTTTGGACCTGAAGCCAGCTGTCCAACAAATATGGTTAATTTTTAATGAGAGTGTGATATAATGCAGAACTGCTATAATGTAATAATAACAGTTATAATAACTTGGAACACTTTTCAACAGGTTCACTCATTAAAAAACAACAAACAGTCCACAATTATTTGCTCTTACAAATACACATATCAACTCTACCAATATATATATATATATATATATTTATATATATACATATATATAAATATATATATATACATATATATACATATATATATATATATGTATATGGTTTTTGTTTGTTTTTAAATAAAATGAAATGCAATAAAAAAATTAAAAAAAAATCTTTACTTACAGTTCTGTGGTGCATCCATTGGCTGTGAGAGTACTCCAGACTTCCTCCCAGCTCTCGGGTCAGCTGAGTCTTCTCAACATAGCCATGCAGCTCAGACAGAGAGTTCAGCATAACAATCTGAAGAAAGAAATTACATTCCTTTTTTTTACATCATGTTAAACTCTTTCTGCTTCAAAAAAAGCATTTATGAAAAAGCATTTATGGTTGAAATAACAAGACCAACAAGAATGAGTGAAAAGATGACAGTTGATAATAAAAGTTTCTGTGCAGACCCCTTGAACACGTTCCTGCAGCCCTAAGGTCTGCACCTCCTTTCAGGCCTCCTTCTTTTATTTCCTAGTGAGACTCCAGCTGCACTCTTGTTTTCTGTAAAGTTTTTTCTCCTGCTGCCTGATTAGGCTCTTCCACCTTTGCCTCAAGTTGTGTTTCATCTCTGACACTTCTTCTTACCAGATTTTAGCGTGTTCGGTTCTTTTTCCTATTGTAGGTTTCTTTTCAGCTTTAGGCATGTTGCTTTCAGTCACTCGTGATGTAGCGTGTTGGAGTTCAGTGGTACCTTCATCTTGAAGTCATCTTTGTGCAGCTTGAGCCCGATGTCGGCTATCGCCCTCTGAAACAGCCTGGATGGTCTCAGCACTAACACCAGCTGGAGGTTTCCTGGAAATGCTCCCTGGAAACACACATGAACATCCTGGACAATTAAAACACACCTCATTCCTTCAAGCTAATTATTAGTTTTCTGTCTTAAATTAGATTTGCATCATTGGCAATTATTAGATCTACTTTACAGCAGTTTATTAATAAGATCTGTTGAACTACAGGAGCTGATTCTCTGTACTGTTCCCTGAAGGTATCACTGACATGGATTGGTTTGTCTCATTGCACTGAGGCTGTGTATAGCTGCTGTATAACAATTCAAAATACATTCAGAATAATAACTGTGCTTTACACGCAGAGGTTAAACAAAACTAAATTAAAGTCAGTGCCTTTTGTAGGTACAATGTAATTACCAAATAAGTACAAGGTTTTACCCTGCATGTACCAGGTATGCACCATGTAAGTGCCACATAACTACAAAATAAAAAGGCTTTTGACCTATAAATACCACATTAAAATCAGGTATATACCCTGTAAGTACCAACTAATCACTAAGTAAATATAGATTTTGTATCCTGTAAGTACCAATCTCAAAAAGTATCAGGTTTGTAACATCAAAGTTCACTTTACTTAAATACTTTTCTGTCTCACATTGTTCCTCTTTTTTCCTCACTTACATCATCCGATGAATCCAATCAGTTATTTAGACTTCAAGCTCGTCTCAGAGACATAAAAACCTGGATGACTCCTAATTTTCTGTTTTTAAACTCAAATAGACCGAGGGGGTGGTTTTTGAACCTGATCAACTCTGCAACCTTTCTCTTCCACTGGATGGCATTAATGTATCCTACAGTTCAGATGTAAAAAAAAAACCTTTGTCTTATTTTTAACTTTTTAACCCCCATATTAAAATGTTACCAGGACATCTTTCTTCCCCCTGAACAGTATCACTAAAATTAGAAACATCTTATCCCCAAATTAAGCTGAAAAACTGGTCCATGCATTTATCACTTCTAGACTGGACTGTTGTAATCTTTATCATGTCTTGTTCAGCATTTTCAATCCACTCCCAGATGGCAGGTTTACTTGTGGTTCCCAGAGTTTCTAAAAGTAGAATGAGAATGACACTTTGTCTATAGGCTGAAGACTTTCTGTTTTTGATAAATCCTATTGGATTTGAATTGGCTTCATGGTTTGGACTTGAAGTTTGCTTCTGCACAGCCCCCTGAGATGACTTGTTGTGAGCTGGTACTATATAAATAAAGCCAGCTGAACTGAATCTACATCTATAAATCAAACCACCTCTCAGTCTAAGTCAGATAATTGGATCGTAAACATCTCAGAGAACTTACAGCGATCCGTGATAGAGAGGCCTTCACTGAGCTCCACTTGTCTTTTCGCCTGTCGATGATGATGATGAAGCCAATACTGGCAGCATCCAAGCTGGACAGGAAAGGAACAGAGGACTGTTTATTGGACTGCAGAGAGGGGTAACAGTCTCTGGTAGACTGCTGCCGGGAACATGGAGGACAAAGATAAAGACAAAGACTTTACAAACTTCAAGTAATTCGTTCAACGTGGTATAACTTCAGCTGCTCTCTTTGTCAGATTTATTTGGATTCATTTTTGTTTAAATAAAAAAAAAAGAAACGTGGAAAATTATTCAGCGATCACTGGGTAGCAATCCATAATAGAGCCTGGTAGACAACCGGTACCTATTTGGTACATACTGAGTACTTACTTGATATATACACAGTGCATACTGGATACTAGCCACTTCATTGTACAGCAGCTTCCTGATGGTACCAGGTACACTGAGCTGTACTCTGTGCTGCTACCCTAGCTCAGAAGGCATACACACCTGGGAATGCTGGTCAGGTAAGTAACCACGTTGAGGAAATCCTCCTCTGGCACTTCACTGAAGCCTGAGTACTCTGGGAACATGATGATGGGGGCGCCATCTTTTCCTCGCCCTCCTGCAGCACAAAAACACAACGTGCATCGTTTACCAACCATCACTTTATTCTACAGACGAGATGATGTCATCTTTAGATGCCCTGCATTTTTTTTAACATCTTTTTCTTGATCAACCTGAATATTTTGAATTGATGTCATTCTTCAAATCAGGATCAAAGAATTAACAAAAACTTTTGATATTTGTGAAGAATGTATTTTTTTATACTTCTGATTTGTACTCACTGACTGGTTTTCTGGTTTGAAGCGGACAGATTTTTTTACTGTCTACTTCTAATGTTGGTAGTTTGATTTGATGCAGGTTGGTGCAGTGGTCAGTACTGGTGCCTCACAACTCCAGTGTGGGTTTGACTCCCAGTCAAGACCTTCCTGTGGGAGGTTTTCATGGATTTTCTCCCACAATCCAAATACATACATACAGGAAGTCAAAATAAATATTTCTGCACACAAATTCAAAACTGGTGCTTTTACTTTGAAGGCTTGTAGTTCAGTTTACTTTTCCCACGTTCATAATTTTACAACTTTTTTTTCCAAACTTGCCATATATTACAATCTTTGACACTTTACAACACAATGTGTGCAAAACATTTAATCAGTTTTCTGCTCAGCAGGAGCTGTTTTTATTTCTTTAAAAATAAAATGGGTGATGCCCAGGTGTCTCCAGCTGTGACCGTTTCTGTCTAACTTTTTATTTTGCATCTCCAGATGCACCAGCTGCTAACCCACTCCAACATTTCATAATTAAAAAATATTCTTAAAAAAAAACAGTTTCCTGAGAAGTACTTGTACTTTGGGTAAACTGTCAGAAGAGGGAACCTTTGAGCTGAAAACATATAGATAAAATATGGAATTAGAAATACCTGAGCATTAAGAAACAAGTTAATTATTGTTGTCCTTTTCCTTCTTTTGTTGGATACTTACATTATTAAAGACCTAGCCATCGTCTAAAGAATGCATTTAATATATGCACGCTCTAGACTGAGATTATTTTATGTTAGGAGAGGAGTTGTACACATTTGGATCCAGACCTGAAAAATATTGTTAGTCTTATGCAACATCACAAGATATAACTGGGACATAACTGGGACAGGGGTGTCCAGTCCTGGGCCTGGAGGTCCACTGGACCTGCAGGTTTCAGGTGTTTGTCTGCTCCTGCATACCTGATCTGAATCAATGGGTGACCAGCGGGCTTCTTCAGAACATGAGGAGGCGATCAGACCCTTACATGAGTTGTGTTGTAAAGGAAACAGGTAAAACCTGCAGGATAGAGGCGCTTCAGGACCAGGACTAGACACCACTGCACTCAGAGTGTGTGTTGTGAATTACTCTCAGCTACTACCACATCAAGTTTGAGCTCAATGTGTGTGAAACAGACCATGTTAGTGTTTGGTTAGCAGTGGCAGCCATCTTTGCTTGACTTCAAGCATTAATCATCTGTAGCTGCACATCCAGAATTTACTTTCTGTACGTTTTATTTAAAAATAATCCATTCATGAGATATTTTGCTAACACTGACTTAAAAACATATACATGAGCAAAAACATCAGTCCCTTTGTCTTGGCAGGCATTAAACTTCATGCTCCACATGACATTACACAAAACTGGATTTTATTTGAAGGTGTTGTTGAAGGAAAAGTCTTTGTAGAATCAAATGGGTTCATAAAACATGTAAGAAACAACAATAGGCTATATGTTTGTTTATATGTAAACAACAATGCATGTTTATTTGCATGTGAATAACAACAGTAAATGTTTGTTCACATGTAACCCAGAAATTTTGTTTATGTTTACATGTAAACAACAATATATGTTTGGTTACATGTGAATAACACTAATATGTGTTTATTTACATTTAAACAACAACAGTATGTGTTTTTATATATAAACAACAACAATACCTGTTTGTTTACATGTATCCAACAATACATGTTTGTTTACATGTGAACAACAACAATACATGTTTGTTTACATGTGAACAAAAACAATACATGTTTGTTTACATGTGAACAACAACAATACATATTTGTTAACATGAAAGAAACCAAATTACATGTTTGTTTACATGTGAACAATAACAATGAACGTGTGTTTATGTGTAAACAACATTACGTGTTTGATCATTCAACATTAAACGAGCCCAGATCTCCTTGTTTAACTGGTGCGGATCAACAGTCTGCTGACTTGGGCTTCTTTTTTTATTTTCAAATCTGTTATTCTGGGTGTCTTTGAGGACGGAGGAATGAGCAGCATCCCTGCAGACCCACACAGAACCACACAGCCTGCAGCCTCAACACCAGCTGAACATGTGGAAACTCTGAGGGCATACAGCAGATCCGAGTGGGGGCGGGGGGGGGGGGGGGGGTGCATATTTCCAGGCAAAATAAAAAGAAAGGGCTTTCATGTTTGTGTCTGTCTGTTTCACTTTGTTAGCAAAATGTCTTTTGAACCAACTGTATGGGTTTTAGAGAAAAACTCATCAAAGATAAGAGATATTCACAAATGGACAAAAAGCTCTAACTTGGACAAATGCACAGAAACTGAGCTAAAACTTGGTATGCTAGTAGCTGAGAGTGACTGCCAACACACACCCTGAGAGCTAACACATTTCATAACAGTTTTGTTGTTCAGGAGGTTGGATGAAAACAGCTGCTATCCTGTCATTTCTCTTCAGAAGATCAGGAGGAGCCGAGGGCTCATGAGAGACCTGATGAGGTGGCTCAGTTCCAGAGACCCAATTGTAACATTTAGGCAACACATTAAGATGATTAGAACTAGAATAAAACTCAACCTGGCATGCTTTAGTCATACCCAACCTTTTCTCACTTTACAGACAACTAAAACTTAGATGAATACAATGATCTTTTAACATATGTCGTACCAACTTATGATGGTTACAAACAACAGCAAATGATTCAAGTCTCTCTTCAAAAGCACAATTAAAATCTTAGACAACCTTTACATACTGACTATTGACATCAGTAAGTTAGAGATCTTAGGCTCTGAAAAATGACCAAATGTTTTTGTTTCTTACGGTAAGTCTATTTTTAGAGGTTTAAATGGGCTTTCTCCTCTGCTATACCCACTTTCATCCAGAAGTATAAAACCAGCATAAACACCAGTTCTCAGACTAGACTGGGCTGTCTTGCAGCAGGACTGAGGACAGATTGAAGACAAAAGGTGATGTCAGTTAGAGGAACACATTTATGGAATAAACTACCAGAAGATGTCAGAGACTAAGACAGTTTGTAAAAACCAACTTTAACTTTGGATAAAAGCAGATCATTCATTTACTCATTCTAACTGTGTAACTGGAAGAGTGTCATTTGTACTGTGTTTTATTTTGTACAGGTCTTTTATGATATCTGGTTTTATTTCCTTTACCTGCCTAAAGACAACAGATCAAATGTAGCTAATGAGCTAATTCTTGCACATTTAAATTGATGTGTAATGCAGAAACATCCATTAATGTGCACCATGGCTGTAAATAAAATGAAAGATGACCTTAATGCATTGCTTCAAGGCCAAACTCGGTCTTGAAATTTGAATCCTGAATATGTTTTTTATAAAGCATTGTTAATCTTGTAGCGACAGAGACTCCGTGTTTTGTTTTGTTTTTTACAGACCTGCCAGCACGGCAAACTGTCGATGAAGCTGCTCGATGATGTCCACAGCCAGCAGAGGTCTGATGTCCTGCTGCATGATCTCATCTGCAAACACAGAATCACCTGATCAGAGCCATGCAAGAGACACTGAGACACTGAGACAGTGAGGACGAAGAGGTGATATCAAAGCCCTTCAGTCAGATCAGCCATCATTAACCGTACAGGCAGCAGATCCAACTAACTTTATCAAAGACAAATGTTGGTTTAGTTTGAGATACAGGTCTGGTTCAGAAGAACATTTAAAACTTCTGGAACAACTCTCCTCGGTACTGAAGTGTCTAACAGGTCTAAAGGACAATGCCTGGCTAGAAACCCTGTCTTTACCTGGCATGCAGGCCCTTATCATCAGTGACTGCAACCTCCCCCATGCCTGCATGTCAAGTAAAGATCCTCTGCCAAGTGTGTACAAGAGCAATAGAGTTCTACATGAGCTAGAATTGAATATATTAAAAACCAAACTCAAAGAAAACCTTCTAAAATAGGACATTAAACAGATAAAGCCATGCTGAGGTGTCAACCACCAGGGATCCCCTGCAGTCTATGTCAATGTCTGATGAACAAAGCCTCCTCTGTCGTTGAGAATAAAGACATATTTATCCTGAGTTGACTTTATCCATTAGAAACTTGGATGGGTAGATTTGTGTGCTGCAGGGGGTGGAGAAGGTCAGGAGGAGAAGAGGAGTCTTTAACAATCAATGTCCCTCTGTTCACAACCCAGTCTGCTGACGTACTAAGGCTTCCATCTCCGATCGGCTCCTCTGACAATCACATGCACAAAAAAATGTCACCTCCACCCAAACTGGGCCTCTGAGCATTTAATGTTTGTTTTTTTTAAAGTGCCAGTTAAATATAAACAATAATTGAGAACAATAAAATTAAGTTATGGTTACATAATCTGAAAAAAGACTCACTTCTGTACTGTGGTATCTTGTTCATACTAAGTATGTGCCAGGTACTTACTCTACAGGTAACATGCACTAACCTGCTAAGTACCTGATTCTTACCTAGAAATCACCAGGTACTTACTTTCTAGATAATGTGTAATAACTTGTAACATACCTGCAAGTACCTGGTGATTATCTGGTAACTGCAAGGTATGTACAGGATACTTACAGGGTACTTACAGGTACTTAGCTTGTAAGTACCTGATGTTTATCTGGCAACTACAAGGTACTTACAGGGTATTTAATAGGCAAATACCTGGTGCTTATCTGGTAACCACCAAGTACTAACTTTGTAGATAACATCTACTAACTTAATGCATACCTGGTAAGTACTTGGAGATTATCTGGTAAATATCAGGTACTGATTTTGTGATTAATGAGTACCAATTTAGTACATACCTAGTAATTGTCTTGTACTTATCTGGTAGCCACCAGATACTTACTTTTTAAATAGTGTGTACTAACTTTGTACCAGGAAACTACCAGGTAATTACTTGGTAGAGAGCAAGTTCTAATTTAGTACATACCAGATAAGTACCTGGTGTTTATCTGGTAACTACAAGGTACTTAGATGTTACTTACAAGGTATGTACCTGGTAAGTACCAGGTGATTATCTGGTAACTATAAGGTACTTACAGGGTACTTACAGAGTACATACCTTATAAGTACCTGGTGTTTGTTTGGTAACTACAAGGTCCTTACAGGGTACTTACTAGGCTAGTACCTGGTGCTTATCTGGTAACCACCAGGTACTTACTTTATAGATAACATGTACTAAATGAATGAATACTTAGTAGTACTTGGGAGCTTACTGGGTTAATACCAGGTACTTATTTTGTAATTAATGAGTACTAATGTAGTACATACCTAGTAAGTGTCTGGTACATGTCTGATCACCACCAAGTACTTACTTTGTAAATAGTGTGTACTAACTTTGCACCAAGCAACTACCAGGTAATTACTTTGTAGATAATAAAGTATTAACAGTACACATCAGGTAAGTACCTGGTTTGTAGGTACCTGATAACTAAAGGTACTTACAGAGTATGACTTGGTAAATACTAGGCATTGTTGTGTACTGCTACCATGAAATGTAACCCTGGAATATAAAGCAGACCTTGTTCTCCAACCAGAGCGTCTACAGAGACTATCGTCTGTTCTGTTGGAACATCAAAGCTCTCAGGGATGGTGCAGACAGACAGCAGGCATGAATACTTCAAAGCTCAAAATAAACCATCTGTTTTAGAAACACGCAAAGGTAGGCGTACGGAAACCCTCCTTAGAAACTGCAGACTCACCAAAAGTACAAGTGAAATGGAATATAGAAGGAGAAAGGCACCAAGGGACAAAGCTCTGCAGTATTGTGTTGTACCGGGCAGCTTGTGCAGAACTGGTTATAGTTATTCCCACAGACAATCAGAGCTGCTACTGGAAGCCTCATAAAAAGAGAACTTCAAATTCATAAAATCCAATGCATTGTTTCTGCTGCTTTTTGTTACGCTGAGAAATGGTGGAATTGTAGCTGCTTTGGTCTAACCATTAAAACAATAGACACAAACTCCCAATACACACAATGTGTTCAGTCACGAGGTGTAAGACCCCCACCCCCACCATGTCTGCTCTTCCAGCATCCAAACCACAAGTCTGCATTCCAACATGTCAACACAGTTCTCGCTGTCTGGTCATACAGTGTCTGAACATTACCTACAACATGTTGGACTCTCTTCATGGTGACACCTCCTCCTAGAACCCCCCGTATGACTCAGTTCTTACTGCATCCAAAACCAGTCAGGTCCAAAAAACACCCAGCTGCAAGAACTCCAGTCCATTCCCAACAGCTGGTCTTCACTGTCGTCTTCATTGTCTGGTCCCGTTAGTCCAAACGTCCTAATGACCAAATCATGTTTCACGCACACAGAAACACACAGCCAAAGTTCAGCTCTTCCGTGTGTCTGTAGTCAGTTTTTCCACATTCTGCTTCCCTCTGAGCAGTAAGCAGCCAATCAACAGCTGGAGAAGCAGGGTGTTAGAAGACGGAGGGAAGAGGAGAGCAGAGCTGAGCTGCAGTGTGGAGGTTTGGGGGAGGATATGCTGTTTCTGTCTGCGTTCGAAAAACAGAGTCATGCTGTAAAAAGAGCCGTAAACTTCACAGGGTAAAAACTTCTTCTTCTTCTTCTTTCGGCTTTTCCCACTTCAGGGGTAACGACAGCGAGTCATAGTTCTCCATCTCACTCTGTCCTCTGCACCCTCTGTCCTCACTCCAACAACATTACAGACTAAAAACATTTTCATAAAAATTCTCTGAGCATCACAAAGCAATGGGTGAAAAAGTGAAACTTTCAGCTGACATTTAACACTATAATACAATGGTTAATGTCAATGTCAATGTATTTATATAGCACATAAAACCAACAAAAGCTGACCAAAGTGCTTTACAGTTAAGATTAATAAAAAGAATAAAAAATGCATCTATTGCCACTCAAAAACATAAGAACGTTAACAGTAAATACACAACAACAATAAAATCAGCTCAAAATTTGTTCTCAGACTCTGCGTGGATCAAATGCCAAGGAATACAAATGAGTCTTCAGCAAAGATTTACAATGGTTAATGATACATTAATACAATGGTTAATGATGCATTAATACAATGATTATTGACATAATAATAC